TAATAAGTGGTTTCATCTTTGAATGGCAATTGTAAAATATACAGATACAACAAGTGACGATATTTGACAATTTCAAACATCAAAAACATGACCAAACACAAACAAGTTGGAGCAAACACAAACACGAATATGGGCATAACAACAACACCTTAACTTATCTCTGTAAAGCACAAACTCGTCAATCGCATTGTAATATATATATATACAAGTCTCAATTAAAAACTACGTTCAAACCTATGAAAAACCGCCGATTTTATACGTGAGCATATAAAACAAATTTCGTTGTAGGAGGGTCTAAATACAGCACAAACTACCTAAAATTTACATTAATGAAACTTTCGGTGGCCGGGTGTTACCTTTCCTCGTAATTTTTTATCTAGCTTCGTAACACAGTACACGATATATAAGGCATAAGGATGTAATTTTTACAGATCAGCTTAATCATCTGTCTTACAGGAATTTACTAACTAATGTTTGATGCTGTCATAAAAATAGTTCTATTATAAGAACGTTTGAACCAGAAACAACTTGTGCAAACATATTATATATATACAGTTAAGTTCTAGCCAAACTCTCACGGTTCTATCTGGTTACTTTTAGTGTGTTTGAAGAAGTGGTACCATTAATGCATTCCGTATTTGTTATATTTCTTATCAGTTTTGTAAAACTAAAAAGGCAGTATAGTATTACTGACATACCTCAGTTTCTCTGCTTCTGTCATTTGTGATATCCATATTCTGGAAAAAAAATGATAGAACTCATATCATCGACGAAAAGCTACTGTTCTTTTCAAAGTAGATATCAAATTAGATTGTTTGCGGTATAAAGCAAAAATTTAGAATAAATAAAGTAAGGAACAAAAGTTGCATATTTTTTTCAACATTTAATTCCAAATTATCTTACTTATCACTCCCCCCCTCTCCAGTTTTAGTTGGTTACGTGTTTCATAGTTTTTAATTATTCATGCTGTGTCGTGTGTATTATTATTATTTGTCTGTTTGTTGTTTTTTTTTTTTTCGTTTTTTGCCATGGTGTTGCCAGTTTATTTTCGGTCTATGAGTTTGAATTTCTCTTTGGCATAGTTCGGCCCTCTTCAATCGGTCTGTCGATACAGAGCACAAACAGAAAAATTCCCCTTCTGTTTAATTATAGATATGAATTGTATCAAGTAGCTTAATTTCTTTTTTTATTCTAAGACAATTCATAGGGTTCAGCCTATTGAAAGCATAAAACATACAATATAAAAAAGTATATGTGGTATTAATACCAATGAAACAACTCTCCACCGAAATTATCAGTTATAGGTAACTACAGGGCCTTCAACAATGAGTAAAGCCCATACCGCATAGTCAGCTATAAAAGGCCCCGTAATGACAATGTAAAACAATTCAATCGAGAAAACTAACGGCCTTATTTATATAAAAAAAATGAACGAAAAACAAATATGTAACACATAAACGACAACCACTGAATTACAGGCTCCTGACTTAGGACAGGCACATACATACAAGTTTGTTTTCGCAGTGAAAAGAAAGATAGACAAAGGCAGACCAATAATCAACTAGTATCATCTGTTTGATATTTTTTTATTGTAGACTTACCACTGGTCTCCCTTCTTCTATATTTCCTTCCTATATAAACCAAAGAGAACGAGTAAATCAAAAGACGAATGAAAATTGTCACTTAATGTCACAAGTAATTATTTAGTTAATGATGTAATAAAGATCATCAATAAACAGACCTATTTCCAACTAGTATCATCAGTTTGATACCTTTTAATTTCAGACTCTAAGTTTACATGTGCATGCCATATTAGGCTAAATGTTACTATGCTATCGTAAACAACGTTACTTAGCCGCGTGGACAAAGGCATCTATCAAATAGTTCCGATCTACGACGCTTTAAAGGTTTTTGATTTGTTTATGTATCCATATAGAATAGAACATCAGGTCTCCATGCTGTCGTTGACACTTGAATCGAAGTGTGGTTACACCGTGAGGTTGCCACATGAACCAAGGCAGACCGACGACCAAACAGTCCCCGTCTGCGACCCGAAATTTGATGCTACATGATATTCTGTTTTCTTTTTATATTCATATTATAATAAGAATCTGTTTTCTATGTAGTAGTTGATATATTAATAAAGTGATATGGGGTAAAAACCAAAGAGACAACCACAAACTCCTCGTGAAAATACTTGAATGGTGAGCACCAACACAGAAACTGGAGATATAGGCTAAATGATTGCTCGTCAAATAGGTCTTTTTATTTTTTTACTTTACAATTGTTTTTGCACGAAAACGTCACAAAAAAAACCCTGTCTTACATCTTTCAATAAAGTTATGGAAATGAAAATGAATTGTTCTAATTAACCATTGTACTCAAATAGCAAAAACGTTACTTACCACTAAATTTGGAAAATACGTCTTAACCCTTTAAATTCTAAAACCGAAATGAAATGTATATTATTCAGCATATGGGAAATGCTACTCTTTTATTGTCGTTGATATGATTTTTTTGCAATTTTTTTTGATAGTTTGACTATTGTCTTTTCAGAAGTATATAACTTTTTCTTTGCAATTTAGCAACAACACAAACACTGGGAAATAAAAGTTAAATTATCGTCTTTAAAATTTGTTAATTTTATTCTTCACTTTTAACAATCATTTTTGCAATAAACGTAGATATATACATGCTTTACAATTTTGTTAGTAAATTTACTCAAATGAGAATGAACAAATCTTGTTTAACTGTTGTATAAAGTTTTTTACATATTTTTTACTAATAATTGAATGTGACTTACCACTGGACTCTCTTCTTCTGTGTTTCCCTGCTGTAAAAATCCAAGTGAGACGAATAAAGGTAATTTTTTAGTCAATGTTGTAATAAAGATCACCAATACCTTTCGAAAAAGAAGTAAACAGAAAATACGATCAAATACTTTGAATGTCTACACTGGAATGAAAATTTAAGCATTGAGCCTATGGGAGGTACTTCTATATTATCGTCGTTGATATGATTTTTTGCATTTTTCTATCGGCTGACCCTTTATCTTTTGAGAAGTATATAACTTTTTTTCTTTGCAAATAAGCAACAACACAGATACTGGGGAAATATAAGTTCAATGGTTGCTCTTCATAATTTGGTTAAATTTATTCTTCACTTTTAACAATCAAGTTTTGCAAAAAACGTAAATAAAAATATGCTTTATACTTTTTTAGTAAATTTGCTGAAATGAGAATGACATTGTTTTTTAACTGACGTATTATGTTATTAACACATTTGTTTCCAATAATTAAATGTGACTTACCACTGGTCTCTCTTCTTCTATGTTTCCTTCCTGTATAAATCCAAGAGAACGATTTAATCAAAAGACGAATAAAAATTGTCACTAAATATCACAAGTAATTATTTTGTCGATGATGTAATAAAGATCATCAATTACTTTTGAAAAAGAAGTAAACAGACCTATTACCAACTAGCATCATCAGTTTGATACCTTTTAATTTCAGACTCTAAGTTTACATGTGCATGCCATATTAGGCTAAATGTTACTATGCTATCGTAAACAACGTTACTTAGCCGCGTGGACAAAGGCATCTATCAAATAGTTCCGATCTACGACGCTTTAAAGGTTTTTGATTTGTTTATGTATCCATATAGAATAAAACATCAGGTCTCCATGCTGTCGTTGACACTTGAATCGAAGTGTGGTTACACCGTGAGGTTGCCACATGAACCAAGGCAGACCGACGACCAAACAGTCCCCGTCTGCGACCCGAAATTTGATGCTACATGATATTCTGTTTTCTTTTTATATTCATATTATAATAAGAATCTGTTTTCTATGTAGTAGTTGATATATTAATAAAGTGATATGGGGTAAAAACCAAAGAGACAACCACAAACTCCTCGTGAAAATACTTGAATGGTGAGCACCAACACAGAAACTGGAGATATAGGCTAAATGATTGCTCGTCAAATAGGTCTTTTTATTTTTTTACTTTACAATTGTTTTTGCACGAAAACGTCACAAAAAAACCCTGTCTTACATCTTTCAATAAAGTTATGGAAATGAAAATGAATTGTTCTTATTAACCATTGTATTCAAATAGCAAAAACGTTACTTACCACTAAATTTGGAAAATACGTCTTAACCCTCTAAATTCTAAAACCGGAATGAAATGTATATTATTCAGCATATGGGAAATGCTACTCTTTTATTGTCGTTGATATGATTTTTTTGCTATTTTTTTTGATAGTTTGACTATTGTCTTTTCAGAAGTATATAACTTTTTCTTCGCAATTTAGCAACAACACAAACACTGGGAAATAAAAGTTAAATTATCGTCTTTAAAATTTGTTAACTTTATTCTTCACTTTTAACAATCATTTTTGCAATAAATGTAGATATATACATGCTTTACAATTTTGTTAGTAAATTTACTCAAATGAGAATGAACAAATCTTGTTTAACTGTTGTATAAAGTTTTTTACATATTTTTTACTAATAATTAAATGTGACTCACCACTGGACTCTCTTCTTCTGTGTTTCCTGCCTGTAAAAATCCAAGTGAGACGAATAAAGGTAATTTTTTAGTCAATGTTGTAATAAAGATCACCAATACCTTTCGAAAAAAAAGTAAACAGAAAATACGTCCAAATACTTTGAATGTCTACACTGGAATGACAATTTAAGCATTGAGCCTATGGGAGGTACTACTATATTATCGTCGTTGATATGATTTATTGCATTTTTCTATCGGCTGACCCTTTATCTTTTGAGAAGTATATAACTTTTTTTCTTTGCAAATAAGCAACAACACAGATACTGGGGAAATATAAGTTCAATGGTTGCTCTTCATAATTGGTTAAATTTATTCTTTACTAATATGCTTTACAATTGTTTAGTAAATTTACTGAAATGAGAATGACATTGTTTTTTAACTGACGTATAATGTTGTTAACACATTTGTTTCCAATAATTAAATGTGACTTACCACTGGTCTCTCTTCTTCTATTTTCCCTTCCTGTATAAATCCAAGAAAACGATTTAATCAAAAGACGAATACAAATTGTCACTAAATGTCACAAGTAATTATTTTGTCGATGATGTAATAAAGATCATCAATTACTTTTGAAAAAGAAGTAAACAGACCTATTACCAACTAGTATCATCAGTTTGATACCTTTTAATTTCAGACTCTAAGTTTACATGTGCATGCCATATTAGGCTAAATGTTACTATGCTATCGTAAACAACGTTACTTAGCCGCGTGGACAAAGGCATCTATCAAATAGTTCCGATCTACGACGCTTTAAAGGTTTTTGATTTGTTTATGTATCCATATAGAATAAAACATCAGGTCTCCATGCTGTCGTTGACACTTGAATCGAAGTGTGGTTACACCGTGAGGTTGCCACATGAACCAAGGCAGACCGACGACCAAACAGTCCCCGTCTGCGACCCGAAATTTGATGCTACATGATATTCTGTTTTCTTTTTATATTCATATTATAATAAGAATCTGTTTTCTATGTAGTAGTTGATATATTTATAAAGTGATATGGGGTAAAAACCAAAGAGACAACCACAAACTCCTCGTGAAAATACTTGAATGGTGAGCACCAACACAGAAACTGGAGATATAGGCTAAATGATTGCTCGTCAAATAGGTCTTTTTATTTTTTTACTTTACAATTGTTTTTACACGAAAACGTCACAAAAAAAACCCTGTCTTACATCTTTCAATAAAGTTATGGAAATGAAAATGAATTGTTCTTATTAACCATTGTACTCAAATAGCAAAAACGTTACTTACCACTAAATTTGGAAAATACGTCTTAACCCTCTAAATTCTAAAACCGGAATGAAATGTATATTATTCAGCATATGGGAAATGCTACTCTTTTATTGTCGTTGATATGATTTTTTTTGCAATTTTTTTTGATAGTTTGACTATTGTCTTTTCAGAAGTATATAACTTTTTCTTCGCAATTTAGCAACAACACAAACACTGGGAAATAAAAGTTAAATTATCGTCTTTAAAATTTGTTAACTTTATTCTTCACTTTTAACAATCATTTTTGCAATAAACGTAGATATATACATGCTTTACAATTTTGTTAGTAAATTTACTCAAATGAGAATGAACAAATCTTGTTTAACTGTTGTATAAAGTTTTTTACATATTTTTTACTAATAATTAAATGTGACTCACCACTGGACTCTCTTCTTCTGTGTTTCCTTCCTGTAAAAATCCAAGTGAGACGAATAAAGGTAATTGTTTAGTCAATGTTGTAATAAAGATCACCAATACCTTTCGAAAAAAAAGTAAACAGAAAATACGTCCAAATACTTTGAATGTCTACACTGGAATGACAATTTAAGCATTGAGCCTATGGGAGGTACTACTATATTATCGTCGTTGATATGATTTATTGCATTTTTCTATCGGCTGACCCTTTATCTTTTGAGAAGTATATAACTTTTTTTCTTTGCAAATAAGCAACAACACAGATACTGGGGAAATATAAGTTCAATGGTTGCTCTTCATAATTGGTTAAATTTATTCTTTACTAATATGCTTTACAATTGTTTAGTAAATTTACTGAAATGAGAATGACATTGTTTTTTAACTGACGTATAATGTTGTTAACACATTTGTTTCCAATAATTAAATGTGACTTACCACTGGTCTCTCTTCTTCTATTTTCCCTTCCTGTGTAAATCCAAGAAAACGATTTAATCAAAAGACGAATACAAATTGTCACTAAATGTCACAAGTAATTATTTTTTTAATGTTTTCATGAATACCTTTTGAAAAAGAAGCAAACCGAAAATTCGTCCAAACACTTGTAATTCCTACAATGGAATGAAAATTTCAACATTGAGCCTATGGGAGGTACTACTATATTATCGTTGTTGATATGATTTTTTGCAATTTTAAATCGGCAAATCTTTTCAGAAGTTTATACCTTTCTTTGTCTTTGCAATTTATCAACAACACAGAAATTATGGATAATAGTAAAATGATTGCTTTTCAAAATTCAATCATGTTTGCACAAAAATCCTTTCTAATTCGTAAATAAAGGACAAGGTCAATAAAGACGAACTTGTTTGGCCCCAAAATACAGCAGTTTTACAAAATACTTTTAGCTATGTATTGGAAAGTAGAATACCTTTGTTTTATAAGTGTTGTCTTTTTTGGACAAAGCAAACACACATGTATCGGGTACAAGCATGATAGAGTCCTATATAAAGTCATATATACTGCATCTGTGCTAATTGCATTGACCGTATATTCAAATGTGCCTCGCTCTCTACCTGTTTCTAAAACTTGCACAAATAACATTGATATTTTGAGACAATGCATGGTTATTCTATATATGCAATTACTGAAATCTTCAGAATTTTAGCATCTTTGTTAATTTCATAACGGTTTTAGTCTAAAATATGAGTTGTCGCATTAGTGCTCATTCTTAATAATTTAATGTAATTTGTATTTGATGATGATACATAACATATATATATATATAGGTGAAGAAGGAAAACGGATGCGGCTACTGTCATTTTTGACAAAACACATCTGAAAAGTGACATATTATGGCATATTTGATACTTTTTCTTTATTTTATCTTATTTGAGCGTCTTGAATGACAAAATCAGTTCTAATCTTCCACAAAAACTAATATAATCGACTAACGTAGGTACTTAAGTGTTTTAAATGTGTCCAACCTCTTTCATCCGATGTAGCTGAACTTTTTGGCCAAAATCGTACCTTACCGGATAATCTCCTTTAATGAAATGAAAAAAAGTTTGAAATGTTCGTATTTTGTTTTATAGTTAAATGTTACTTACCACTTGTCTTCCTTCTTTTTTATTTCCTTCCTGTATATATCAAACAGAAAAACTAAATCAAAAGACGAATACAAATTGTCACTTAAGGCTGTATGGGAGTCTAAAGCAAGAACGATAGAATTTGTTCATACTTTGCCTGGCGTAGTATATATTGATATATTTTCAAAAATATAATAAAAAAGATGGGTCACCGTGTATTCTCTCAATCTACAGGAAGTGACAAAATGACACATTTTGTACGGATTATACAGGAAAAAACATCATTATGTGATTAGAAGTTAAACTAAATAATAGAATTGTAAAAAAAATACGAAAAGATAGAAAATGCGTTTAGAATATCAAAAGAAAAAGATAGGACCACCGTGCGTTTTTTCCGGCTAAAATGCAAAATAGCAAAATTAAGTGTAGATTCCTTCACAAAATGCACTATTTCAGAGTGTATACATCCCCTTAACATGCCAAAATAAAAACATTAGAAATGAAGCAAAAAATATTAAAATTTATAAGTTATAATCTTATTAATTTGTTCTTTTAGGTGCAAATCAATATTAGTTCCATCATCAAATTTTGCTAACTTGATTCAAATCTAGACCTTAGATTCTCTGTTGTTTACAATCCGAAATGGCAAAGACACCCAAACCATTTCAATGTCACAGATAATTATTTAATCAATGTATTACACAAATCACTTATACCTTATGAAAAAGAAAAAAAAAAAAGTCAGGATAAACTATTAAAAATTCGAATAGACGTAACATTTGAATTAAATTATCAATAAAGGTATACTACCACGCAAGGCCTTCATTCACTATCGACTGCATGTAGAAAAAAGACGAAAATAAAAGCCAAAAATATTCTTGAATATAACTTAAGGTTAAACGAAAAATTAACGTTAACCTTAACCTTAACCGTAATTTTAACTCTAATATAAACCGTAACTTTAAATAATAGCCAACATATCCTTCAATGAAAATTAAGGTAAAACAAAACATTTGATTCAAAATTGACCTTTTACTTTAAACCTAACATCTACCTCCAATATGTACCTATCTCGATAACGGTCAGTCATTACTTCATCTTAGACAACCTTGAGTATTCCCCACGGCTACCACTTTTATGATATAGCCAACGTATTTTTGAACGTAAAATTAACCTTAACCTTAACCTTGACCTTAACCTTAACCGTTACCTAAAGAAATAGCCAACATATGCTTGAATAAAGCTTAAGGTTACACGAAGAAATAACATTACCCTTAAACTTGTCCTTAACCTTAACCCTTACCATAACCTTTACCTTAAATAATAGCCAACATATTTTTAAATACACATTAAAGTGACACGAAAAAATAACCTTAACCTTAACCTTAATCTTCAGTAATAGCCAACTTACGCTGCAATAAAGCTTAAGGTTAAACGAAAAATAAACCTTAACCTTAAACTTAACCCTAAAATTGACCGTTACATGAAATAATAGCCAATATATCCATCAATAGAATATAAGGTTAAACTAAAAATTAGACTTAACCTTAACCTCAACTATAAATCTAATATTTAACTCCTACATGTACCTATCTCGATAACGATCAGTCATACCTTCATCTTAGACAACCTTGATTATTCCCCACGGCTACCACTGTTATGATATAGCTAACGTATTTTTGACTGACAAATTAACCATAACCTTAACCTTGACCTTTACCTTAACCGTTACCTAAAGAAATAGCCAGCATTTGCTTGAATAAAGCTTCAGGTTACACGAAGAAATAATCTTAACCTTAAATTTGTCCTTAACCTTTACCCTAACATTAACCCTAACCTTAAATAATAGCCAACATATGCTTAAATACACATTAAAGTGACACGAAAAAATAACCTTAACCTTAACCTTATCCTTCAATAATAGCCAACATACGCTGAAATAAAGCTTAAGGTAAAACGAAAAATAAAACTTAGTCTTAACCTTAACCCGTAAATTGACCGTTACTTAAAATAATAGCCAATATATCCTGCAATGGAATATAAGGTTAAACTAAAAATTAGACTTAACCTTAACATCAACTATAAACCTAATATTTAACTCCTACATGTACATATCTCGATAACGATCAGTCATACCTTCATCTTAGACAACCTTGAGTATTCCCCACTGTTATGATATAGTCAACGTATCTTTAAATTATGCTTAAGGATAAACGAAAAATTAACTTTAACCTTAATCTTTACCTTAACCTTAAGATCAACCTTAATTTTAACCTTAACCTAACAAAATAGCCAACATATGCTTGAATAAAGCTTAAGGTTACCAGAAAAAATAACCTTAACCTTAACCTCAACTTTAAATGATAGCCATCATATGCTTGAATATAACTTAAGGTTAAACGAAAAATAAACCTTAACCTTAACCTTAACTTAACTTTAACAGTACCCTTAACCCAAACATTAACCGTAATTTTAAGAAATAGCCAACATATCCTACAATACAAAATATGGTTAAACTTTAGACTTAAAATTGACCTCAACTTTAAACCTAACATCTAACTTCTACATGTACCTATCTCAATAACGATCAGTCATACCGTCACTTTAGACAACCTTGAGCATTCCCCAAGGTTACCACTATTATGATAGAGTCAACGTATCTTAAAATAATGCTTAAGGTGAAACGAAAAATTTACATTAACCTAAACCCTAACCGTAACTTAAAATAATAGCCAACATATGCCTAAATAAATCTTAAGGTTACATTAAAAAAATAATCTCAACCTTAACCTTAACCCTAACCTTAAATAATAGCCAGCATATGCTTGAATAAAGCTTCAGGTTAAACGCGAATTTAACCTTAACCTTAACCATAACACTAACCTTAACCGTCACTTTAACTTTAAATAAAAGCCAACACATCCTTTAATAAACCTTTAGTTAAACTAAAAATTTGAATAAAAATTGACGTGAACTATCAACTCCTCAATGTACCTATCTAGATAATGATCAGACATACCGTCACCTTAGACAACCTTGAGTATTCCCTCACGGCTAGATCTGTTATGATATAGCCAACGTATATTTAAATAATGCTTATGGTTAAACAAAAACTGAACCTAAACCCTAACCTTAACCTTAACCTTAACCTTAAGAAAAAGAAAACATATGCTTAAATAAACATTAAGGTTACACTAAAAATAATCTTAACCTTAACGTTGACCTTAAATAATAGCAAACATATGCTTCAATAAAGCTTCAGGTTAAACGTAAAATTAATCTTAACTTTAACCTTAACCTTCACTTTAACCTTAAACCAAACCTTAACCCTAACCTTACATGATAGCCGACATATCCCTCAATAGAACACAAGGTTAAACTAAAATTTAGAGTTAAAATTGACCTCAACTATTAACCTAACATCTAACTACTACATTGAACTTTCTCGATAACGATCCGCCATACCGTCACTTTAAACAACCTTGAGCATTCCCCAAGGTTACCACTATTATGATAGAGTCAACGTATCTTAAAATAATGCTTAAGGTGAAACGAAAAATTAACATTAACCTAAACCTTAACCGTAACTTAAAATAATAGCCAACATATGCCTAAATAAATCTTAAGGTTACATTAAAAAAATAATCTCAACCTTAACCTTAACCCTAACCTTAAATAATAGCCAGCATATGCTTGAATAAAGCTTCAGGTTAAACGCGAATTTAACCTTAACCTTAACCATAACACTAACCTTAACCGTCACTTTAACTTTAAATAAAAGCCAACACATCCTTTAATAAACCTTTAGTTAAACTAAAAATTTGAATAAAAATTGACGTTAACTATCAACTCCTCAATGTACCTATCTAGATAATGATCAGACATACCGTCACCTTAGACAACCTTGAGTATTCCCTCACGGCTAGATCTGTTATGATATAGCCAACGTATATTTAAATAATGCTTATGGTTAAACAAAAACTGAACCTAAACCTTAACCTTAACCTTAACCTTAACCTTAAGAAAAAGAAAACATATGCTTAAATAAACATTAAGGTTACACTAAAAATAATCTTAACCTTAACCTTGACCTTAAATAATAGCAAACATATGCTTCAATAAAGCTTCAGGTTAAACGTAAAATTAATCTTAACTTTAACCTTAACCTTCACTTTAACCTTAAACCAAACCTTAACCCTAACCTTACATGATAGCCGACATATCCCTCAATAGAACACAAGGTTAAACTAAAATTTAGAGTTAAAATTGACCTCAACTATTAACCTAACATCTAACTACTACATTGAACTTTCTCGATAACGATCCGACATACGGTCGACCTACCATCAATCTTATTCAAAAAACGTCATCAATCTTATTCAAAAAACCTTTCTTCTTTAAATAAACATGTCAAAAGTCATGTTCTGTATACCTTAACCCACGCAAGGCCTACATTCACTATCGACTGCATGTAGACAAAAGATGATTTGAACTATATGTAAACACAGATTATCAATGTGAATGTAAGTGTGTTTAGTTTACGTGTGAAATACACTTATAAAAGAACAGAGTTTAGGTCAATGTGAGCACATCCTTAGGTTTTAGTTTTCTATGTTGTTTCTTGTGTACTATTATTTGTCTGTTTGACCTTTTCCTTTATAGTCATGACATTGTCAGTTGTTGTTTTCTTCGATCTGTTAATCTAACTGTCTCTCTGGTATATTTCGCCTCTCTTTTAATGTTAATTGTCATTCTTTTTTTAATAATGAAATGTTACTTACCACTGGTCTTTCTTCCACTGTATTTCCTTCCTGTATAAATCCAAGAGAAAGATTTATTCAAAAGAGGGGATAAATGTCACTAAATGTCACAAGGTAGCATTAATTCAATATCATCATGATACTAACTGATACTTTTCGAATAAGAAGTAACGGAAATACGTCCAAACACTCTGAGTTCTCAAACTGGAATGAAAAGGTTAACCTTGAGTTTATAGGATGTACTACAAGGGTATCGTCGTTGATATGAAGTTTTTTTCAAGTTTATATTGGCTGACCCTTATGTCTTCATAAGCATATTTATTTTTTCTTTGCAATTTACAAATAACAAAGAAACTGGGAATCAAGCTAAATGGTTGCTCTTTAGATGGGTGTTATTTATTCTTTACTTTTTACAATAATTTTTGCGCGAAAAAAAAATTGTCTTTCTTTTTTTCAGCTAGATTAATGGAAATGACGTTTAATGTTAATATTATTTTTATCTAAAAAAAAAGTCAAAGTTACTCACCACTTGTCTTTCTTCTTCGGTATGTCCCTTCTGTATAAAAGAGAAATATTAAATCAAAATAGGAATGCAAATTATCCATAGATGTCGCAAGTTAGTACTAAGTCAATGTTATTATGAAGATCACTAAAACCTTTCATGAAAGAAGTAATTGAAAATACGTCCAAGCATTATGAATTCTCAAACTGGAATGACATTTTTAACATTGAGCCTAAAATAGGAACTACTATATTATCGTAGTTGGTATGTTTTTTTGCAATTTTTATCGGCTGACCTTTATTTCTTTTCAGAAGTATACGATTCTGGTTTTTTTTATTCTAAATATAGCAACAATACAGAAACTGGGGATATAAGTTAAATGATTGCTCTTCAACATTGAGTTGATTTATTCTTTACTTTTAACAATATTTTTTACCCAAAACTTAAAAAAAAACATGCTATACAAATTGAGGCAAATCTACAGAAATTAAAATAAGTTTTTTTTTTTAACTGACGTTTACTATTATTTCCTGTTTCTTTTGATAATAGCAAGTTACTAACAGCAACAACAAAAGACTGGCGATGTAGACTAAATGGTGGCTCTTCAATTAAGGTTTAATTTATTCTTTACTTTTAACAATCATGTTTGCACAAAAACGCCAGAAAAGGACAAGTCTTACAATTTTAAGCAAATTTCGGCAATTGACAATGCAAGGGTCTTTTAGAACTGGTGTTTAATGTTGATACCCGTAATTTTTTTATATATATTAAAACGTTATTTACCACTGGTCTTTCTTCTTCTGTATTCCCTTTCTGTATAAATCCAAGAGGAATATATAATCAAAATACGAATAAAAATGTTTACTTAATATGAGGAGTTATAACATTAAAATCACTACTGTCTTCCGAAAAAGAAGGAACAGAAATGCGTCCAAACAATCTGAATTCTCAATCTATAATGAAAAGTTTAACATTTAGCCTACGAGAGGAGCTACAGTTTCGTCATGGTTGGTGTAAGTTTTTTTTTCAATTTTTGATAGGCTGACCTTTTAAGTCTTTACAAATGTTTTACTTTTTTTCTTTGCAATTTGGCAACAACTAAAACAAAGCTGGAGATATAGGCTTAACAATTATTTTTGCACGAAAACACAGAAAAAGACATGGCTTACAACTTTTTGCAAGCTGACGGTTTAGAAAAAAAATGTTTTTGAACTGACGTTTAATTATATTTACATATTGTTTTAATAATAGCATAACATTACTTACCACAGGTCTTATTTCATCTGTTTTTCCTTCCTGTATAAAACCAAGAGGAATATGTATTCCAAAGACGCACCAAATAATTTCACACAAGTTATTATCAAGTCAATGTTTTCATGAAGATCAGTAATACCTTTCGAACGAGAAGTAACAGAAAATACGTCCAAGCACTCTGAATTTCAAAACTAGAATGAACTGCATAACATTGAGCCTATGGGAGGTACTACTAATTTATCGTCGTTGATATGACATGCTAGCCAGTTTTTTATCGGCCTACCTGTTATATCTTCAGAAGTATCTAATGGGAATTTCAGCTAACACATCATTGACATTAAAAGCCATTTATTTAAAGATTTATGGTTATAAACAGTTATTAATTGTGGAGATTGATAAATTCAAACACAATTTATAATTTTTGGAGGTTGTAAAACTTGAACAAAGTAGGAAGTTTCTTCTGATTACATCAGTGTCGATAAAAGTTTAATCCTATAAAGTTTAAGAACTAATGGTCATTTGAATTACAACCAATCAGTTTTACACTTAATTAAATTAGGCTATATATTTCAATCCCGGACAGTTCTAAAACGGTGTTTCTTTCACGATTTTATTATTTTCCGAAAATACTATGGAAAATAAATGAAATGAGCCGTTCCTGAAAATTTTGGTGTAACATTTTTCAATTATTAAAGTTTTGTATCCTTATAATCTTAAAACTCATTTCAAAAAATTATCTTAATTGACACCATTAAAATAACAAATTACAAGTATAATTGCTGCATTTACTTCAATAAAATAAGATATATTTGTAATTTTAAACAATGCGAACAACATTTTTTATATTTTTTTTTTATATTCTTTAACCGTATTTAAAAATAAATAATCATTAACTTCATTAAGTACAACAATACAATGGTGATCAATGATTTTGATTAAAATAAAGAAATAATTGCATTCTTATTTAAAAAAAAACAAAAGTTTATGCATATGTATCCTTCAATTGTTTTCATTTTATTCAAAATTAATTATCAAAAGACATTTATAAAGAATGATTGCAATTGAGCATATTTTATGAAAAAAAAAAAACAATCCTGAAGTACAAATAAAAACTGAAATCTTATGTTGGCTTCTGATTTGTATTAACAATAACTGCATTCTTGTTCCACTGAAACAAAATTTTAAGTATTTAAATTCTGATTATATTTTAATTCTAAAGAAAGACTTATATTGAAGCCTTAAAAAATATTCGTACAAATAAAAAACCTTCATCTTTTATCAAAAGAAGAATAATTTTGCTAAATCTAAACAAAGCAAACAACATTTAAGTATATTTTCTCTGATAATCTTTTAATTTTATGGGAAAAAAACCTAAACAATAAAAAATACAAACATCCAATGGCAGTTAATAATTTCCATTAACATGAAACAAATCATTGTATTCTTGTTCAACAAAAACAACACTTTATGCATATCTATCCTTCAAAAATTAACATTTTATACAAAATAACGTATGAAAAGGCATGTTACACGACTCATTGCAATTGAGGTTGCATTATTTGAATTATAAAAGAAATATTTGCATTTCAGGCAATGCGTACAACAATTTAGTATCATTTCTCTAAGATTCAGCCTATTCAATGGAAAACAACCAATCCTGATGTGCAAAAAGTACTGAAATCTTATGGTATTTTATAATTTTTATTAAAATAAAGCAATAACTGAATTCTTTTTCAACAAAAACCAAACCTTAAGTATTTTAATTCTGATTATATCTAAATTCTTTAAGAGACTTATATAAAGGCTTTTGAAATAACTAATTCCAAATAATAAAGCATAATTTTTTTTTCAAAATTTACACAATGCAAACAACATTTTAGTATATTTTCTCTGATATTCTTTTAATTTTATGAAAAAACAACCAATCCTAAACAAAATAAAGTGCAAAAATCCAATAGTGGTCAATAGTTTTTCATGAAAATAAAGAAGTGATTGCATTCTTGTTCAACAAAAACAAAAGTTTAAGCATAACTATCCTTCCAAAATTAACATTTTATACAAAAAATAATAAAAGGTATATTAAAGGCTGATTGCAATTAAAATTGCATTATTTTTAAAATTAGAAGAAATATTTGCATTTTAGGCAACGCATAAAAAAATTTAGTATCTTTTCCCTTAAATTCAGCCTATTTTATGAAAAACAACCAATCCTGATGTGCAAAAAGTATTTAAATCTTATGGCAGTTTATAATGTGTATTAAAATAAAGCAATAACTGCATTGTTTTTCAGCAAAAACCAAACTTTGAGTATTTTAATTCTGATGAGATCTAAATTCTTAAAGAAGACTTATATGAAGGCTTTTAGAATAACTAATTCCAAATAAAATAGCATCATTTTTTATCAAAAGAAGACTAATTTTAGTAAATTTGAACAATGCAAACAACATTTAAGTATATTTTCTCTGATATTCTTTTAATTTTATGAAAAATCAACCAATCCTTAACAATATAAAGTACAAAAATCCAATGGTGGTCAATAGTTTCCATGAAAATGAAAAAATGATTGCATTCTTGTTCAACAAAAACAAAAGTTTAAGCATATCTATCCTTCAAAAATTCACATTTTATTCAAAATAACTTATCAAAAGGCATATTTAAAGGCTGATTGCAATTAAAGTTGCATTATTTGAAAAATGAGAAGAAATATTTGCATTTTAGGCAACACGTACAAAAATTTAGTGTCTTTTCCCTTAAATTCAGCCTATTCAATGGAAAACAACCAATCCTGATGTGCAAAAAGTACTGAAATCTTATGGTATTTTATAATTTTTATTAAAATAAAGCAATAACTGAATTCTTTTTCAACAAAAACCAAACCTTAAGTATTTTAATTCTGATTATATCTAAATTCTTTAAGAGACTTATATAAAGGCTTTTGAAATAACTAATTCCAAATAATAAAGCATAATTTTTTTTTCAAAATTTACACAATGCAAACAACATTTTAGTATATTTTCTCTGATATTCTTTTAATTTTATGAAAAAACAACCAATCCTAAACAAAATAAAGTGCAAAAATCCAATAGTGGTCAATAGTTTTTCATGAAAATAAAGAAGTGATTGCATTCTTGTTCAACAAAAACAAAAGTTTAAGCATAACTATCCTTCCAAAATTAACATTTTATACAAAAAATAATAAAAGGTATATTAAAGGCTGATTGCAATTAAAATTGCATTATTTTTAAAATTAGAAGAAATATTTGCATTTTAGGCAACGCATAAAAAAATTTAGTATCTTTTCCCTTAAATTCAGCCTATTTAATGAAAAACAACCAATCCTGATGTGCAAAAAGTATTTAAATCTTATGGCAGTTTATAATGTGTATTAAAATAAAGCAATAACTGCATTGTTTTTCAGCAAAAACCAAACTTTGAGTATTTTAATTCTGATGAGATCTAAATTCTTAAAGAAGACTTATATGAAGGCTTTTAGAATAACTAATTCCAAATAAAATAGCATCATTTTTTATCAAAAGAAGACTAATTTTAGTAAATTTGAACAATGCAAACAACATTTAAGTATATTTTCTCTGATATTCTTTTAATTTTATGAAAAATCAACCAATCCTTAACAATATAAAGTACAAAAATCCAATGGTGGTCAATAGTTTCCATGAAAATGAAAAAATGATTGCATTCTTGTTCAACAAAAACAAAAGTTTAAGCATATCTATCCTTCAAAAATTAACATTTTATTCAAAATAACTTATCAAAAGGCATATTTAAAGGCTGATTGCAATTAAAGTTGCATTATTTGAAAAATGAGAAGAAATATTTGCATTTTAGGCAACACGTACAAAAATTTAGTGTCTTTTCCCTTAAATTCAGCCTATTTAATGAAAAACAACCAATCCTGATGTTCAAAAAGTACTGAAATCTTATGGCAGTTTATAATGTGTATTAAAATAAAGCAATAACTGCATTCTTTTTCAACAAAAACCAAACTTTGAGTATTTTAATTCTGATGAGATCTAAGTTCTTACATAAGACTTATATGAAGGCTTTTGAAATAACTAATTCCAAATAAAATAGCATAATTTTTTATCAAAAGAAGAATAGTTTTGGTAAATTTGAACAATGCAAGCAATATTTTAGTATATTTTCTCTGATATTCTTTAAATTTTATGAAAAATTAACCAACCCTAAACAATATATAGTACAAAAATCCAATGGTGGTCAATAGTTTCCATGAAAATGAAGAAATGATTGCATTCTTGTTCAACAAAAACAAAAATTTAAGCATATCTATCCTTCAAAAAATAACATTTTATTCAAAATAACTATAACTTATCAACAGGCATATTTTAATTCTGATTGCAATTAAAGTTGCATTATTTGAAAAATGAGAAGAAATATTTGCATTTTAGGCAACGCATACACAAATTTAGTGTCTTTTCCCTTAAATTCAGCCTATTTAATGAAAAACAACCAATCCTGATGTTCAAAAAGTACTGAAATCTTATGGCAGTTTATAATAAGTATTTAAATAAAGCAATAACTGCATTCTTTTTCAACAAAAACCAAACTTTGAGTATTTTAATTCTGATGAGATCTAAGTTCTTAAAGAAGACTTATATGAAGGCTTTTAAAATAACTAATTCCAAATAAAATAGCATCATTTTTTATCAAAAGAAGAATAGTTTTGGTAAATTTGAACAATGCAAGCAATATTTTAGTATATTTTCTCTGATATTCTTTAAATTTTATGAAAAATTAACCAACCCTAAACAATATATAGTACAAAAATCCAATGGTGGTCAATAGTTTCCATGAAAATGAAGAAATGATTGCATTCTTGTTCAACAAAAACAAAAATTTAAGCATATCTATCCTTCAAAAAATAACATTTTATTCAAAATAACTATAACTTATCAACAGGCATATTTAAAGGCTGATTGCAATTAAAGTTGCATTATTTGAAAAATGAGAAGAAATATTTGCATTTTAGGCAACGCATACACAAATTTAGTGTCTTTTCCCTTAAATTCAGCCTATTTAATGAAAAACAACCAATCCTGATGTTCAAAAAGTACTGAAATCTTATGGCAGTTTATAATAAGTATTTAAATAAAGCAATAACTGCATTCTTTTTCAACAAAAACCAAACTTTGAGTATTTTAATTCTGATGAGATCTAAGTTCTTAAAGAAGACTTATATGAAGGCTTTTAAAATAACTAATTCCAAATAAAATAGCATCATTTTTTATCAAAAGAAGAATAATTTTGGTAAATTTGAACAATGCAAACAACATTTAAGTATATTTTCTCTGATATTCTTTTAATTTTATGAAAAATCAACCATACTTTAACAATATAAAGTACAAAAATCCAATGGTGGTCAATAGTTTCCATGAAAATGAAGAAATGATTGCATTCTTGTTCAACAAAAACAAAAGTTTAAGCATATCTATCCTTCAAAAATTAACATTTTATTCAAAATAACTTATCAGAAGGCATATTTAAAGGCTGATTGCAATTAAAGTTGCATTATTTGAAAAATGAGAAGAAATATTTGCATTTTAGGCAACGCGTATACAAATTTAGTGTCTTTTCCCTTAAATTCAGCCTATTTAATGAAAAACAACCAATCCTGATGTTCAAAAAGTACTGAAATCTTATGGCAGTTTATAATGTGTATTACAATAAAGCAATAACTGCATTCTTTTTCAACAAAAACCAAACTTTGAGTATTTTAATTCTGATGAGATCTAAGTTCTCACATAAGACTTATATGAAGGCTTTTGAAATAACTAATTCCAAATAAAATAGCATATTTTTTTATCAAAAGAAGAATAGTTTTGGTAAATTTGAACAATGCAAGCAATATTTTAGTATATTTTCTCTGATATTCTTTAAATTTTATGAAAAATCAACCAATCCTAAACAATATATAGTACGAAAATCCAATGGTGGTCAAAAGTTTCCATGAAAATGAAAAAAATGATTGCATTCTTGTTCAACAAAAACAAAAATTTAAGCATATCTATCCTTCAAAAAATAACATTTTATTCAAAATAACTTATCAACAGGCATATTTAAAGGCTGATTGCAATTAAAGTTGCATTATTTGAAAAATGAGAAGAAATATTTGCATTTAAGGCAACACGTACAAAAATTTAGTATCTTTTCCCTTAAATTCAGCCTATTTAATGAAAAACAACCAATCCTGATGTTCAAAAAGTACTGAAATTTTATGGCAGTTTATAATAAGTATTTAAATAAAGCAATAACTGCATTCTTTTTCAACAAAAACCAAACTTTGAGTATTTTAATTCTGATGAGATCTAAATTCGTAAATAAGACTTATATAAATGCTTTTGAAATAACTAATTCCAAATAAAATGGCATCATTTTTTATCAAAAGAAGAATACTTTGGTTAATTTGAACAATGCAAACACCATTTTAGTATATTTTCTTTGATAATCTTTTAATTTTATGAAAAAAACAACCAATCCAAAACTGTTAAAAGTACAAAAATCCAATGGCAGTCAATAATTTCCATTGAAAAGGCAGAAATGATTGCATTCTTGATCCAATAAAACAAAAGTTTGACATATGTATCCTTCAAAAAATCAAATCTTATACAGAATTACTTATCAAAAGACATTTTAAAGACTATTTGCAATTGATGTTGAATCATTATAAATATGAGATGAAATATTTGCATTAAATTGTGTATCATTTCCCTAATATTCAGTCTATTTTTTTCTGAAGAACAACCAATCCTGATGTAGAAAAAGTATTGAAATCTTTTGACAGTTTATAATTTGTATTAAAATAAAGCAATAACTGCATTCTTATTCTACAAAAACAAAATTTTTATTTTTTTTTATTTCTGATTAGCTTTTAATTCAAAGAAAACACTTATCTCGAGAACATTACAATACATAATTATAAATAAGATTACATTACTTTTTATCAAATGAAGAAATTAAAGTAATTCAAAACAATAGTTAAAACAACACTTTTAATCAAGACAAACAAAGCTCTGAGCTTCTTTAATGTTATACTATTTTTACTTTTATCATCTAGTGACATGAATTGCTAGATATAGTACATATTTTAAATGATTACATTTTATCGCTTATGAGTGGTACATAAGCATATCGTTAGTCTGCACTTATTTAATTTTTTAGCTAAAATTTAAATTAAAGAATATGAAGATATACACATGATGTGTGAAAAGTAATTCATATTTATTTTTTTTTTTTGTTATTGCAATTAAGTTTATTACAACTAAACGAGTAAAGGTGTCTTCGTGGAGGTCAGTGTTCATCGAATGTAAACACTGTGGAGTTCGGTTTACATAAGAATTTTAAACATATACGTATCCGTCAGATCCGTGCATAAGATAAATCTACTGATCGATCGCTGACCGTTGTAACGGTAACTCTCACATAGCTTATTTGGCTTATCTGACGAATTCTATAGGTCACCGAGCAACGACTACTCATGGATCAGTCAAACATTCACGACAAACAGTAACATCCAAGGTTGCAAGTAATGTACAACAGACCATTTTTTTACAAAAAAAATAAGTTATTATTTGTCACGGTTATTAAATTTCGACATATGAAGGGAATTTCGGTTATTTCTAAAGATTAATTGTCAAATTGTATACAACAGACCGATATGAGACAAAATAAGAAGTAAGGGTGAGAGCAAGTTAGGGAAATTGTGTCACTCCTAACTTATCATTCATGTAAAGAGAGAAAAAAGTTTCTAGTGCGGTGTTGTAGTCCACTTGTATTTTTGTTCATCTGATGATTTATGCCTATTTTAACTGATTTGTATAGGTTTTTCATATGTTGTACTTTAAAACCACTGTCCCAGGTTCGGGGGAGGAATGGGATCCTGCTAACATGTTTAACCCCACCCCATTATGTATGTAAGTGCCTGTCCTAAGTCAAGAGCCTGTAATTCAGTGGTTGTCGTTTGTTGCTGTGTTACATATTTGATTTTCGTATACTTTTTGTACATATATAAGACCGTTAGTTTTCACGTTTGAATTGTTTTACATTGTCATTTCGGGGTCTTGTATAGCGTACTACGCGGTATCGGTTTTGCTCATTGTCGAAAGCCGTACGGTGACCTATAGTTGTTAATTACTGTTTCATTTTGGTCTGCAGTGGAGAGTTGTCTCATTAATAATCATACCACATCTTCTTTTTTTATTTACGAGAAGTGTTTTTATAAATATGAGTGTGATAATTGACCACGCTATGATATTGATATGTAAATGTATACTGAAGTATTGGTTTCAGAAATGATAAAAGTTTAACATTAACTATGATATAATGTTTTCGTAAATTAAACTTCAAGGATTAACCTTTAGTTTTCATAAGATTTACTATGTGTGCTTAATCAAATCAATGGACAAAGGCGTCGTTTTAAACAATTCTTAGAATGATTCTGATATAAAGGAGTAAATGCTTACCTTTCATGAAAATTTCTCCACAATGGTATTATAATTCAATCACAAGAAAAACACTTATCCGACGATCAACTAACCTTTAACAGAAGCGTTCTGTTAACTGCACATGCGCATACATAATTTGAATGTCAACAGCAACCTTTACCTAACATTCATTATAACCTTAACTTTTGGATTTTATCTTAACCTTTTAATAAAACCATCACCTTAACCTTAAATTTTAACCTTTAAACTTGAACAAGACTCGCTATCTGTATGCATTCACAAATTGTGTCATTAACAAATCCTGAAGTACATAATACTTACCTTTAACCGCCAAGGAAACTGGTCATATTCTCCTTGAAAATATGTGAATGTTACTTCTTCACCTTCGCTGATTGTTCTTGTAGCAAAGAAACAAAGATGGGGAAGACCACCGACAATTATTCTCTTAACAATAGAGTTACTATCATTCTCGTCATCGTTTACGAGCCTTCCCAAGGATTTGTCGTCATTAGATGCATCGATCCTAGATGGAAAGAACAACTTACTGTTAAACTGTAGCTTACTGATGGGAAGGTATCAAATTATTTAAGGTAAGGATTCTAGTGAATGGTAAAAGCTATAGGATTTAAGGTTATGGTCTAATGATAAGGTTAAAGATTAATGTTACAAGTAACTGGAAAGGTTAAAGATTAAGGTTAAAATTAACTGTTAAGGTTACAGATTAAGGTTAGAAGTAAATGTGAGGGTTAACGTCAATAGTAAATGTTAAGATTAAAGGTAAAAGTTCAGTTTGAAGTTTGCTGTAAGTTAAAGGTAAACAAAAAAGTTATTGATCAGTGATAATTAACAGTCGGTGAAAGGTTTGAGGTAATTTTCGATATATTAATATACATCAATGTGGGAATCAGGCCAGAACTGGTTTTATTTCTGGTATCCTTGATTTTGATAAATGATGAGTTATAAATCAACTTAAAGAAATATATCTAAATAGCGTGATATTAATATAAAAGATCTGGAGCAATTTTACTAAAAAGGATCATTTATAAAGTCGACTCTATACGGAAAAAGAAATTGTGTGATAGAAAGGGGCAGATAATTGCAATTGAAATATCGAAGATTTTTGCAATTGCATGATTACCAAAATTCAAAAAAATGAATAATCAATAAAAAAAAACAACGTATTGAATTCCTTAAGGTGGTATGGGAGTCTAAAATGAAAGGATAAAATTCGCTCACTTTGCCAAAACCTATTGTATATTAATATCTGTTCCAAACTATACTAAAAACGATAGGTCACCGTGCAATTTATCAAGCTACAGGTTGTGGCACATTGTGTATGGCGTATACGGGTAATAACATCAGTATGCAATTAGAAGCTACACTACTTGATAGAATTGTAAAATAAAACACAAAAAGATAGCATCAAGACAATGATTTGAGAATATCAAAAGAAGGGATAAAGTCACCGTACGTTTTTTTTCGGCTAAAATACGAAATAGGAAAATTCCATGTAGATTCCTTCAGAAAAGTGCACTTTTTCCAGAGTTACCTTCCATTCAAATGGCATTTGTTAAACCAAAATTAATCTACACTTGCAAAAGTGTTAATACTTATAATCATTATCTTATAAACGGTTTTATTTTCAAATAACAGTTCACATTTAGTTATCCGCATTTTTGCATCAAATTTTGTTAACTTAATTAATAGAAACTAGACATTAGGTTCACTGATTTTTTACAATCCAAGATGGCGAAATACGCCCATACCACCTGTATGTCATTTACGTGTTCTAACCGCTACTATATGGTTTTGAAGAACATTTTTCATCTAGCATAAAAAGTTTTAAACTTACCAACATTTTCTTGAATTCCAAATAAACTCGAATGCGTACTCGTTGAAGCCTGGATCAACTGTTGTTAAATTTCCGCGATATTCGAACATAAACTCGCCTTTTTCAAACTGTTTTGTCGTAAACACACCTCTTCCTTTTATAAAGTTAAACGACAAATATACACATCAAACAGCTCAAAACATTTTAAACTACATAACGATGATTGATTGATTAAGTAAAATATAATATTAATAAATATGTTGTTAGTAAACTATATTTTTTTCGAAAAAGAAACCATTTTAGAAAATATTTTCATCACAAATACTTAAATACTAATACTAGTGAACATGTATAATTTGAAATTTATTGTTTTCAAAATTTTTAACAAAGTATGAAGAAAAAAATATTCACCGCATGTTTATGAATTTAATGCATATTAAAATAAAAAAATAACCTTTTTTTAAAGACCAAATTGAGAAAACAAAACTTGAAATACAATGCATGCTTGTAAAAGGTACCGCAAATAAAGATAGATTGAAGATACAAAAATCATTCGTAAGTAAACTTTTCTAAAACACCTATCCAGGTATTACAATGAAACAACATATTAACACACTGAAAAAACAGAATAACTTGTACTTACCTTTTATGTCGTCAATCTTTCTTACCAAAAACCCTTCTCGATCTGATTTACTATTTATGTAATCTTCAATTTTTAATATTCTTCTATTTGATCTTCGCAAATCTACAAATTTCAGAATTATTCCAATAATGCACTCATTCAAGTTGTTTAAATAAGACATTTTAGATAGTCGTCACGGTGCTTGGACTCTTAACATATATTATTATATTATTACGCCTGTTATTTAAGTTTGATACATTCATTGCCAAGGTGTATACATCGTGTACATAATACTTGTATCTTAATTTCAAAAATTGACACTCTGAGTTTCACATTTCTGATAAAAGAAGGACGAAAGATACCAAAGGGTATCAACTAAAAACAAACTGACAACGCCATGTCTAAAATAAATAGACGAATACACAAAAATATAGTACAGAATTAAGCGTTGATAAGCGTTGTACAGAATTCTTTAAAAAGAATGATAACTACATTCAATTCAGGTAATGTAGAACACCACAGAGACCAGACAATCTATCTATGCTCAAGCGAAAAGTCGGCTAATTCGGAGTTAGTTAAATAATAATATCTTTCGTTGGCACAGATAACGTGCCCTATTTATCCGGAATGTCGACTGAAAAGTGTTTAAAACAAAACATTTTCATACAAAATTTGGTCTCAATTTGTGAATAAAAATACCAAATGCCTGCGTCTACTAATTTGATATCCATTAGTAAGACATACGAATGTTACTTACCTGGTTTAACTAATTTATAATCCATAACACAAAATATATAGAAGTGTTCTTTCTACTAATAACTTCCTAAAATTCGACAGTTTGCACACGCACCCTTACCAGGTGTACATGCGCAAAGATGAAAGTTTGATTTCAAGCTTAATCTTGTCTTAAACTTAACTGTAACCATAATGTTTACCTTTGACCTTATTCACAACCCTAACCCTTTACCGTACAAAAATTGTCCTTCAATCAACCTTAAAATTAAACTACTATGATATACCCTAAAATTGACATTAACCTTAACCTTTTCCTTACCTTTAACCTTAACCTTAACCTAAACATAAACCTTCACTTTCTCTAACCTTGAATTAACATTAATAGATATAAGAAGATGTGGTATGTGGTTAACATTAAGGCTACCTCAACTATGAACATTAAGGTTAAAACATACCTTCACTTTAACCTTTACCTTAAGCTTAACATTACCATTATTGTTAAAAAAGAGAGACGAACGATATCAGAGGGACAGCCAAACTAATAGATCGAAATTGAATTGAAAACGATATGGCAAAATAAGAAAAACACCAACAGACCAATAATAGTTCACATAAGGGTACTTCCACCTTTAATCTGAATTTATAACTATTAATGAATCCTCAATAAATCATGAGGTTAAAACATACCTTAACCTTTACTTAAACAATAAACTTAACTGAAACTTTGACATTTTGTAACCTTCAATTAACTTAAAGGCTTCCTCAATCTTAAAACTCAATTTCAATCGTTAATCTAAATTTTCAACTACCAATCATCCTTCAGCGGGGTTCGGACAAACCTTCAATTTAACCTTAAACTAAATTTTAACTTCAACTATAATCTTAACTTTTACATTAACCTTAACCTTAACCTTAACCTACACCTTAACCTTATCTATCATTGAATTAACCTCAAGGCTACCGCAACCTTTCATCTGAATTTTCAACTACCAATTAACCATCTATGAACATTTAGGTTAAAAATCACCTTCAATCTTATCTTAACCTTAACCGGAACTTAATTTTTTAACCTTGAATTTACCTGTACCTTAAATATGAATTGTCAACAAACCAACTAACCATCAATCAACGTTAAGGTTAAACAATAACTTAATATCTTAACCTGAACAGTAACCTTATCTTAAAATTACCCCTTGCAAATGAAATTCCAAAGGCCATGACTAGTATTCCCAAAGTACTTGACCAGTGATAAGCCAGAAAAAAACGATAAACCAACTTCAATAGCCAGAAAATCACCCTATGGCAAATTACCCAAAAGAGTTTGATATTCTGTGAGCATCACGCAGGGATGCCAAAAATGTATGCTATTGCTTATTATAAAGCTAAGGTACCCGGTTACCTTCCTACATCCATTATTTGGACGATCGTAAGGCAAAACACTATTTTTTCGACTGCTACCCTTATATCTAGGTGCAAAACGCTAGTATTTTACATATTGACCCAGGACCTTTTAACCCTATAGACTAAGTTTATTTTGTTATAGGTTCAAACAAGGTGTAAATATCATGGCAAAGGTCGTTCTAGCTAGTAAAACCAGTTTTAGAAGTCCTGGTCTCGTGTTAAGACAGAAAATTACGATGAAACAATACCAAAGCCAAGAAAATTATTATATAAGCAACAACCAATAAGGGTTTATATCATTCCTCGAGCACCCCGCGGACATGGCATATCAGTATATCAAATATCTTTACAACGCCAACGGTCCAAATTGCCTGCCTGAATCCTAGTAACCATAAGTTTTACAATCGTAAAGCAAGACATCATTTCATTTCTACACCAAGAACTAAATCGAGTACCCAGCCGCAAACAATGACAATACCGACCCCGAATTTTTTCACTATATATACCACGTCGGCCATTTTATATGGGTATATAATAGCTCATACGAACGCTGATAAGGTTCATGTTGCCTACATACTTCCTTAGTTGTCAATACTTGTACGAGCATAAGACAAAAAAGCTATTAATTCGACCCATGTTTGGATGTCTGCTATCCAACCGCAAATATTGTCATAACCGATGCCGGATCTATACCATACAGATCAAGCCGAGCCTATTTTAAATAAAACAAGGTGCAAATACAATCCCTCAGACCTTGGCTAACTATATAAAGTTTTTTTTACAAAAGATTCAACTACCATCACAAGGCAGGAAAACACGATGAAGTAACCCCAAAGTCCAGAAAATCATCCTGTAAGCATATACAGGGAATAATACACCCATTTCACCCCTTAGGCATGTAATATAAGTATATCAGAGTTCATTACAAGCCCAAGTTTCCCGGCTACCTGTCTTTGTCATTAGTTATTGTTAGT